TATATATATATATATATATATATATATATATATATTTCCAAATTAATGATCGATGACAACCAGAAACATACCGAACATATTAGGGGGGTGGAGAGAGTGAAAAAAGTGAATACGAATTTTTAACAGAGGCACCTCCCCACTCCCTCCGACAATGATATATAAACATTTATCTGAGCATACTATTCATACATGATCTATGAACATAAATATATGTATGTATGTAGGGTTGGATTCCGTGAGTAGGAGAGTTAAGGTAAGAAACGTAAAAAGAGATCTCCACCTTTTGATGCACATTAAGATGAGATGTACCAAATCAATGATAAAACTTCTTAAGCAGGATTCATGGGTGAGCTTGATATTAAAGGTGATCAAGGATCTAGATCACTTCTTACGCTTCACATCTTAGCTCTCCTTCATACACGATCCTTCGCCAGGATATCGTGTGAGAAGAGAAGTTGAGAAGTGTAAAAAGATATCTGAACCTTGATCACTATCCAATGGTAGAGATATTTTCTTACGCTTCTCGCCAAAATTCAACCCAATATATATATATATATATATATATATATATATACATACAGAATTTATACAAGTAAATACGAGTATTATTCAAAAATACAAACTTTGGTGACATAAAACTACATTGTTCGATTTTTATTTTTTCATAACATTATTGTATACAAATAATATGTGACGTTTGTCCAATGAATTAACATGAAGTGGTAAGTGGTTCATGTTAAGACCTCGAGCCAATCACTTGAATGAACCTACTACCTAGGCCAGTTTGCGACTTTGTATAAAATGACAATTTTGTCCACTTCACCTAAAAATTCTTACAATTTTTTTAATCAACCCGGATATTCAATCCTCTATGTGAGATGACTAATCCCAAGACGACCACCTGTTTTGCGAGTAACTTGAAGTCACCGCATTTTAACCTTCGTGGCCACATGAGATTTTTATTCCTCCTTGAAACTAAGACAATAAAAAACGTTACTATAGAAAATTATTTTTATTATCTGTTTTATATGAATAAACAAATTATTATGTTTATCGGGTTAAAACTAGACTAGACTTGAATCGAATCGTATAATATAAAATGATTGAATTGAAGTCAAAGTTGTCATCCATTTAAAACCACTTCAATTCCAAACCAGACATTAAAACAAATAGATTAGTTGTCATCCATTTACAAAATACAAACTCAAAATTACATCATTTCAAGTTTGAAAAAACCAAAAAAAAAAAAATAGTTCGATTCCAGGTTTTAAGCAATTTAAAAATATTAAACGACAACTAAATCAAAATCCTGATTTTTTTAGAAATTTAAACCTAGTTAAGACAAGCGTAGTACATTAGTTTAATTGTTAGTCAATCATATCATGGAAGTCGCATAATTAGGCGTGACATCGACTAACACTTCAAAACAATCTCGTCAAACTAGGCCCCCCTTATTCCCTTTACACATGATTTCCACATGTTCGGACCCACCCGCAAACCTGGCAGTGAACAATACTGCTGCTATTTCTGGCTTTTTATTTATCCTGACTGATTGATCAGATCTCTAAAGTTATATAAAAGATTTATATCATGTATGCTATACTACTTTTCTATGAAAGGCATGATCATGTATCCATCATATAGATACGACACCATTATAAAAGCATGATTTTGGATCGCTTTTCACATGAATAATTAATCATGCACTCTCTTTACAGCAAGACCATTTAATTACTCGAATCTTTGTATCATGAATGTTGTGATTACCGCTTTTTAAACACCTTTAACGATGAAAGACTTTCTATAATATAGTCATAATCATAATCAAGTCAACAAAGTTCCGTTTCATAGAAGAATTTGCACTCTGGTTCATTAAAATATGTATGATTGTACCTTGACGGTTGACGCCCCCTGCCTCGTACTCCCACTTTTATTTGAGCTACCCTACTCAATACCCTCTTTTCGTTCAGTAAACTTGCATAAAGTAATGCCTACTCCCTAGGAAATGATTAGTAAACGTTCATTACACTCGAAAAATCTTTTAAAAACAGTGTCGTTAAGAAAAACATACATCTTAACGTCTAATAATTATAAGAAGTTGTTGTCTTTTAGAAACCACTTGTTAAACTTGAGTACCAAAACTTATTTTCTTTGACGTGCAAATGGTAACTTTTGTTTAAACTCCTTCCTTTCTACAACAAAATGATTATCACATGGATTATCTATGCTATATTATAAAGCATTTGACAAAAACTCTTAAAAACCATTTTTTATGCATGAAGTACTGTTTATTGATGCATATTACTTAAAATTCAAGATTACAAGTGATTTTGCGTAAATAGAACTTGTTAAAGTTTCATTCTTAAATTCGTGTAACTAACTGCAGACAAACATAATCAAATACAGGATAAACATCTATTTTAAATATAAAAAATCTAAAATATAATTAAGATAATCATTGAGTTTCTAACCAAATGTTTAATTATTATCTTTAATAAAAATTATATTGTTAAGTTAAAAATAAATTACTTTGTTGTTAGACCTAAATTAAATTATAATAACAAATTGAAAATAAAGAAGTTACACCAAAAAAAATGAGAACTATTAAATAGTTAATTTAATATTAATATCAATTTTTGTATGTTATCTTCAAATTTATATTTAATTCAAAAATAACATTATCGC